GTGGGGATATTAGAGATGGTAGTTATGTTTTAATATTTTTAAACCTAGTAATTTTACTAAATAAAGAAATTTTCAGTAAATAATATTTACTTTTTACTAAATATATTTAATTATTGTACTTTATCATGCATGTTATAATTCTTTTTGATTACCTAATTCAAAATTTAAATTAAAACAGGGCGAATGCGCTATAAAATTTATAAGGATAACTATTTTTTTACTTTTGCAGTAAAATCGGGTATTTTGTAATTTATCTGGCAACACTGCGCTCAAGTTCAACGGTTCAACGTTATTCGCGTCCTGTGTGTCAGTTGTGAGTTTTTGTGCGCCATTTTAGGTTTAAAAAATAAATAATAATTATTAATGCATAGGAGACATTCTTTTACATATCGTACGGATTACAGAAAACATATTTTTTCAAATTTTTAAAATGACTTAATTTTTTTTACAGCATCTTTTCATAAATTTAGTCGACCCCTATATCGGAATTTTTGCAGAAAATTTATTTTTCCAAAGATATATTGATTTATACTTTTAATATAATTTGAAAAAATGCTGAATTCTTTTGTACTTAAAATTCATTATCTCCGGTTCTACTGATCGGATCGATTTAATTTTTTTTTTATTTTAAACCATATTATATAGTCTTTTTAGATAAATATTTAAAAAGTTTGTGTTTTGTTTATTATATGAAAAAAATATTTTTTTTGTATAAACAGATTTTTTGTGTTTGCCCCCTCTATGAAAAAAAATGAAAAAAATACTGTTCTATGCACTATTTATTACTCTACAAAATGAATTTTTCAGAAAAATGGAGACTTTTTTGGATCGGAAGATATTAAATATTTTCAAGCGCGTGACCGCTACAAGCCGTAAGGGGGCATCCATTAATTACGTGAGGCGTTTAGGGGAGGGAGGGGGTCAAGCCAAATCTCATCAATTCTCACGTAAGGGAGAGGGGGGGTCTCGGCAAATATTACGTAATTTTTAACAAAGTATGTTTTTTTAATAATTTCAACAGAATCAAGCAGTTTAACGTATAAACATTAAAAATAAGCATTTTTTAAAATCTCACGTGAGATTAGGGGGAGGGGTTGAGCCAAATCTCACGACATCTCAGCAAGGGGGGAGGGAGTCGCTAAAATTGACTCACGTAATTAATGGACACCCCCTAATCAGACATCTTCGAAACGCTAACACATTTAGGAGAGTGTAAACTCATACATCGTTTTAAAAAATACCAGCGCTTTTTGTAAATTAATTCTGATTTTAAAGGTTTTCAATAATTTTAAATAATACAAACTCCAATTAATGAGTAAATTTATTAACTGGCAGAATTGACATTTGCACAAATAATTATTTTAATTATTATTATATAATTATTTTAATTGGTAACTTAAGTCACCAATTAAAAGATGTCGAATCATGGCACTCTTATACAAAATATCACGTCACCCGCCACATGCACTAATACGTTTGAATATTACGCGCTTGACAGTCCTGTCACGCGCTCGAAAATGTTTAATATCTTCCGATCCAAAAGAGTCTCCACTGTTCTGAAAAATGTATTTTGTAGAAAAAGAAAAAGCGCATAAAATAGTATTTTTTTTCTTTTATTTTATAGAGGGGCCAAACATGAAAAACTAGTTTAAAAAATTAATCTGTTATTAACTCCCTATACTTAAAAAAAAAATTATTTATTTGAATAGCCTATTCAATAAGGTTTAAAACAAAAAAAACAAAATCGATCCGATCAGTAGAACCGGAGATAATGGGTTTTATGTAGAAGAGAATTCATCGTTTTATCGCAATTCATAAAAAATTTATATCAACATATCTCTGAAAAAAACAATTTTTTACAGAAAACCTGATACACGTATCTGAATTTACTGAATAGAAGCGGTAAAAAAATTTTCATGCGAATCCAAACCCTGAAGTCAAAATAGGTGTACGATTTGTAAAAGAATGTCTCATAGTAAAAGAATGTTTGCTGGTTATATTCAAACTTAAGTGCATTACACTACAATATTTAATTCACTGAAGTTTATCGACAAATTTCAAATTTTATTAAAAAAATTCAAGTATTACAGATTTTATACCATTTCATTTTTTTTTTTAATTTAGTAAAAGAAATAATAAAAATTTAAAATGGTAGGAGGCTGGAGGAGCACACTTAAAAACTAACTTTTTTTCGCAAACTTCAATTTAAATTCTGCTTGCGTAGAACTTGTCTATATAATGTCATTATATACTCATATAAATTTGATGTAGGTCCCATGTCTAATAACTGAGATATGGGTGTGCACAAAATACACCAGCCGTAAATTGTACAATTTGTACCAATGCTACAATTCAAACATTGAGATCATATTCTCAAAGCAATGTTGCTGCAAGGTTATGATCAACAGGTATAAAAAAATTATATTTTGGATAAACATTTAATATTTATTTAACAAATTAATATATTTACACTTTCTCAAAGTGTATAAAATGATTTGATAAAGTTATTTTTTAAATCGGGTATAACTAATCTACAGACTATAAAAATTGGTCTTTATTTTATGAGGAATCAAATACGAGGTGTGTTCAGAAAATATCGGGAATTTTCGTTTTTTGAAACAAATATTTATTTATTTGTCTACATTAATGTTGTCGCCTTCAAAATAGTCCCCATTGGATATTATGCACATGTGCCAGCTCTTCTTCAAATACTTGAAACACTTCTAAAACTCGATCTTTGAGATAGCCTTTAGTTCTTTCAGCGATGCGCTTTTAATGTCATCTATGCTTGCAAAACGACGGCCCTTTAAGGTTCTATTTATTTTTGGGAATAGGAAAAAGTCAGACAGAGGCATTTCTGGCGAATATGGAGGCTGGGGCATCATTACAGTATTGTTTTTGGCCAAAAATTTTTTTCAAAAATTAACAATTTTGTAACAAATTTTGCTGCCACGCATTTCATACCCAAAACATTTGAAAAAATTTCATGGGATGAGCCAATCGATATACCAACATCATCAGCGAGTTCTCTGATGGTTTATAACCATTTCTTCCACTTTTTCCATGTTTTTATCGGTTGTTAATGTGCTTGTGCGTTCGGGGCGTTCGTCATCTTCAACGTCTTCACGGACATCTTGGAAACTCTTATACCACTTGTAAACTCTTGTTTTACTTATAGCAGACTCACTATAGGCCTTTGTTAACATTTCACAGAATTAATTTCATTTTTTAAGCAAAATTGGATACAAATTCTCTTTGATCCATTTCTTTTAACGAACAAAAATCGCCGAGCTCATAAAACACGTCTAACCTTAGCGGATGCCACAGACAAAGTAAACAATGAAAACAGCTAAAGTTTTATCATACTTCGGGGGCACCAACATAATAAATACAATTTTATGACAACCGGACCTTCCGAAGCCGCGAAATTTAACAATTCCCGTTATTTTCTGAACACACCTCGTAGACACGACTTGCCTGCAAAACCAAGGTATTAGGGGGCGTAAAATTTAAATGCTTAAATATTTAAAATTTATGGAAACATGAAAAATTTACAATGGAAATTAACCGAAAAGCATTAAAATCTCATATTTTCCATATGAATCTATCTTACTTTAAAATGAACGTATATGAATTTACTGAATGACGAGCTTTTAGCTTCATGTAGCATATTATCATTCAACCGTTTAAGTACTTTTAGACGGAAACATTGCGGCAAAATCTCAGTTGAATATTAGTAAAACTGCATCAAAAATATTTATGAAATTTTTGGATCTTGTTATTGCAATGAAGAATTAGGGTTGCTACTAGCAACTTGCTACAATATTGCACCAATATTGCATAACGGTTTGATGCAACATTACAAATTACAAAGCAACATTGCGTTAACATTGTAGCAATGTTTGTTTGCTTAGTTGTATTAAAATAAAAAATAATTATAAAATCCGTTAGAAAATTTCCCAAAAATTTTAAACCAAATTTAATAAAATGACAATACAAATTTTGTTTTTGCAAGTTGGTACCTTCTCAATTTATGCATTAAGTATCAAAAAGTTACTATTTAAAAGTAAAAATGACTATTTTATTTGTAAAAAATGCTGTTACTTTTTGATTATTTTATTTTAACTGCATTCTTGACAACATTTTTACACTGACAACTAAATACAAGACCTAGTAGGTATTAATGTATTATTAAACATTATTATTATTATTAGTAAACATACAGGGTGACCCATAATTAGCATGCAATCCTTTAACAGCAGTTTATACGTACTAAAATATGAAAAAAAGTTTCTATAGAAACTATATATAAACATGTTTGCATAGGTCGAGAAATGCTTCCTAAGGGAGCTACAGCCCCCGAAAGAGAAGCCCCTGAAGATGGTTTTTATTTAATTTAATTTAAAACCTGACATTTTTAGAATTGATTATAATTGATAATAATAATAATAATAATAATAATAATAATAATAATTTTATTACCAGTTACAATAATAAACATAAATATTTTATTATATTTATAAAATAAAATTATGAAATTTTGTACAAAAATAAAAAATAATTTTTATCTTGTTATATAAAAATATTGCAAATATTTGTTATAAGTATTAAACGATCGTTCAATTTATCTATAGTGGCATGTCATGCATGTGTGTATCATTTGCAAACAATTTTGTTTACAAAACACTTAATTTTATCTAGGTACTTATAGCTTGTTTTTAATATATATTATATACTCGTATTATGATGTGTTTTAATTTGATTGCATATTTTTGAAAAAAGTATTTATTTCATAATATAAAAAAATAGACATTATATGCATACCTATACCCAAGCATATATGCACTAAAATAAGTGTATTTTGAACTGCACATGCTGAGCAAGTTAATTAATAGTCATTAATGGCAAAAAAAAATCGACAATAATAACCGATTATTTTGTCTGACTACCTACTGTTTTATTCAAAATGCGATGGATTGTACAAAAAAAACACAATACTATGTAATTTGTTTTATTTAATATAAATTGCCACCCCCCATTAAACGACCTAATTTTCAAATAAACTACTTAATTTATTTTTATTCACTATTTTTTCTCTCTTTCAAGCATTTTTCAATGTTATCGATATCTCCTTGGTGTTTAACACAAGCAGGATGAGACTTGATTTTTTTAAACCAGGCTTCAGTTTTGGGATAATTTTGAAAATTTGGTGGTGCCAAAATAAATGCAACTATTAAAGAAGAAACAATACAAAAGTCGGCTATGGTAAGATGCTCTCCAGAAATATATTCTGTTTCGACTAATAATTGCTCAATAGTTTTATAAGATTCTTCTAACGAATGGACATTTTCTTCACTAATTTTTTGATGCTGTAAAAATATTTTAGTTTCTTTTAAATATATATTAAGGTCTATATTACCAAAATTGTTTGAATTTTATTCCCAAGGGTTCCATTATCAAAAAACAATATTTGATTAATCATGGCTCTTTTATAAAGATCCTTTGGATAAATGCTGTTGTTAGGTGCATATTTATCCACCAAATAAGATAAAATCGTTTGTGTATTCACCAAAATAAATCTAGAATCGACCAGTTTTAACTAAAAATAATATGTAGTACCTATGGACCTAAAATTAATAAATATGAAAAAATACCTCTGTTTCACCAACAACTTTTTCTTCATATATATTTAAATTAATACTGGATGCTGTAAGTTTTATTGCCAACGAATTAAAGCAACATTCTGAAACGAATAATTTTGGATTATTTAATAATAGAGGATTTTTAATTAGTAAAGGTAAATTTTGCATTTTAAAAAATTTGAGAATTAAATATATTTTGGTTTATTATGAACTATATGACCTGTTTATATATAGGTATAGTTATGCTGATAGGGTTAACTTAAATGGTAACTTATCAAGAAAGTCTAGACTATTGGTTTATTAAATATTACATATAGGTAGGTACCTTGTATTTACATAAAAAAATTATACTTTAAAAATACGCACCTATCTAGCCTAGTGTGTATTTGTAAATTATATTTAGGTAATAATATTCAGTGTAGTGATTTGCTTTCAACAGAACCAGTTATGTAAATTTCGACATTAGGGTCCCCCCTGCAAGCTAATTTTGGGGGCATTTTTTGCCAACTTTTCACCCTTTAAAGCTTGGTGTGCATTTATGCACTCTACATATATATAGTAAAAATAATGTTTCATTTTATTGTCTTGTAGTTTTTTAATTGTTAATCTATTTATTATTGTATTATGTAAAATATTTTATTGTATTAACCTACTTTTTATATTTAGTGTACCTACAAATTATATTATTAAAGTATTTAAGTTCCTGACTTGTACACACAATTTTTGTATTGATTTAAAGCATAATTATTATTAATACTCACTTTTATAATTATTATTAATACTCACTTTTTGCAAAAATAAAAAAAATGAGATTGGTATGTACATTAGGCTGGGCCGAAAAAATTATTTTTAGAAATCTCACTTGGCATAGTAAAAAAAAGTTGTAACATGGGTAGACAACCTAGCTGATTTTTTTTCAAAATTTAAAAACATGTTTTAGCCTCGCCCCCGGGGGGCTAAAAAATTTTTTTTTTCAAATTTAAATTTTGGATTTGGCATAGCATAAAACTGATAGATAAAAGCTTACTTATGACACACACGAAAATTGGTTAATATATTTTAATTTCTAGCCGCGCCCCATGACGTTTAACTGGGGATGAAAAATAATTTTTTAATACCACAGTTTGGCATACCAAAAAATTGGTAGGGTCAACTCAATTACGACATAAAAACAAAATGATTAAAACATTTTAATATTTAACCTTGCCACTGAGACCTTAAAACAGGTATATTTTAAAATATTATATTTTTGTCTTGTCATAAGAAAATAGATCATTTCCTACTCACTTATAGCCGAAAAAGAAATGAATAAAAATCTTAATATTTACTAAACATCGTATAACCGAGCCCGCTATTGTAAACAAAAGAGGTTACCTAAATAAATACCACCCTTTTATTGCTGCCATGTGGCAATTGCGTGGCGCCTTCCACTGAAACAAGTGATATAAATGAATGATACAGTGTAACTTTAACGCGTTGTGAAATAAGTGTACTTTGGGCACAGATAATTGTTATAGTTATATAATAAGTACAATTTAGCTATATAATAGGTGTAATTTAGTTATATAATAAGTGCAATAAGACTAAGTGGTGTTTTGTTTTTTGGTTTATCTATTTTAAAAACAATATGGATAAAGTTAAAACTAGGAAAGCAGACACTTTTCCAATATTTGGTACTGCCTGCGACATAGCTTCTGAAAGTTGCTTACCAACTTATGAAGATATGTTCCGTTGTTATTTATTTACAAGACAGCAGATTAAGGGAAATTCTAGCAAGCAACCGCCCGAATGGAAAGTTGCAAAAACGGTTGCCAATAAAATAGATAATATATGGAAACGTGCTTCACTACCAACTGTTGGCTCCAAATGCGTAATTGCAATGATATTAGCATATCATAAAAAATATCGTAATTTAATAAAACCCCTAAAAGCCCGTAAATCATCATTTATTCTTAGAAAGGTTGAAAATTTTAAATTGGAATCAAAAAAACTTTTTGACATTTCTTCCTGCAAATGTCGTGATTTCGATTCTTGCAAGTGCGAAAAAATTTGCAAAGTGCCGTTGTTAGAACAAGATTTTTTAACAGATCAAAGGAATCTAAGAAAAATGCAAATAGGAGGTGTGGATAAAAAAACTAGTGAAAAAAATAGAAAAAGGGAAGAAAGGCTCGGTCCTTCTCAAATGTCCATCCCTTCAACTAGTAGTCAGAAGTCTGATTCGAGCCCAACTATTAAAAATGTTACAGATAGTTCATCCAACGACGAAGACTTTGCTAAAGATCAAGACTTTAAGTGGTCCTATCCTTTACAAAACGAACAGAAAAAACAAAAACCAGAAGAAAAATCCAGTCAAATGAGAGTTCCATTGACAAATATCGCCAAAATTGCTGATATGACTGGTGTATCAAACCGAACAGTAGCCAAAATTGTAACAGCTACCTTGGAAGATTTTGGACTCGTTTCATCAGATAACCCACATAACGTAGTGGACAAGAATAAGATCCGTCGAGAATTAAAAAGAAAACGAAAGCACGTACAAAAAAAAGCTACTGAGGAAAGAAAAGATATTGAAGCTATATATTTTGATGGTAGAAAAGATCAAACATTAATGCAAATTGATGGTCGCCGTATTGTTAAACAAGAGGAACATATAGCCTTAATAGAGGAGCCAGGAAACAAATATTTTGGTCACTTATCAATAAATCCACCTGCTAATGCTGTAAAAATTGCCAACAATATCCTATCTTTTATAAAAGAAAATTCCGTCAACCCAAAGAAGCTCAAAGCAATTGGCTGTGATGGCACTAACGTAAATACTGGCTGGAAAGGCGGTGTAATAAGATTAATCGAAGTTCAAATTGGAAAACCATTTCAATGGCTAATTTGTATGCTACATGGTAACGAATTACCCCTACGTCACCTTATTCAACGCTTAGATGGACAAACAAAAGGACCAAATTTGTTTTCTGGGCCCATTGGTTTATTGCTCGCATCATGCGATACCAAACCTGTACAAAAGTTTCAGTCTATTTATACTCTATTACCTGAAGTTGATGACAAGGATTTAAGTACTGATCAGCGATATTTATATCAGATCTGTTGTGCTATTCGAGATGGTTGCTGTTCTGAAGCTTTATCTAAAAGAGATCCTGGAAAAATGAGCCATGCGCGATGGTTGACTACAGCTAATCGAATACTGCGCTTGTATGTGGCCACTTGCAGTCCTTCTGAGAACTTACTTCTTTTAGTGCAGTTTATTATGAAAGTGTACGCACCTATGTGGTTCAATATAAAAACGCAATCTTCAATTAAATATGGTTCGGTACATTTATGGAAAACCATTAGTGAGTCAAGGGGCCTTCCTAAAGGAGTCAAAACAATTATTGATAAAGTAATTTCAACTAACGCGTATTTCGCCCATCCCGAGAATATTCTGATAGCTATGATTGCTGACGAGAGAAGTCATATTAGGGAACTTGGTATACGACGCATATTAAAGACTAGAAAACAACCAGCAGCAAAAAAATTACGTATATTTAAAATACCACCTTTAAATTGGAATGCCAAAGACTATACCGAAATGATAGATTGGAGTGAATGTTGTATTACAGAGCCCCCACTAACAATTGATATCAAAAGCGAAGATTTGTTAGCAGCAATTGAAAATAAATCTTTTATTAATTTTAGCAAATTACCAAGTCACACTCAAGCTGTGGAGCGATGCGTAAAGATTATAACCGAAGCATCCAGTAAAGTTTGTGGTCACTCTTCAAGAGACGGTTTTATAAGGGTTAAAATAGAGGCAAGAAAAAATTTACCCATGTTCGATAATAAAAAACAATACTACAATGTTGAAAAGTAAAAACAAGTATATTATTATACTAAGGGATGGAAGGGAGGGTGCAACTCGACATGCAGCCACCTCCCCGTGGTGAGTTGTGGGTTGACTAAATGATGATTGATATAAAATAAAATAATTTTGGTGCGCGATTTAATCATATATGATATATCATCATTTTTTCAAGCAAAGAGCTGCATATTGGAACTTAAAATGCCAAGGGGCGCGGCTAAAAATAAAAATATATTAACCAGATTTTTTTTGTGTCGCAAGTGAGCCGATACCTATCAGTTTTTTGCTATGCCAAATCCAAAATTTAAGTTTGGAAAAAAAAAATTTTTAGCCCCCCGGGGGCGAGGCTAAAACATTTTTTTAAATTTTGAAAAAAAATCAACTAAACTGTCTACCCCCCTTACAACTTTTTTTACTATGCCAAGTAAGATTTCAAAAAATAATTTTTTTTTGCCTTTTTCGGCCCAGCCTAATGTACATACGTTCAATGGACGTCGTCCATGGTTATACATTTTTAGAAGAAATCCATTGAACTTGGTTATTTGTAGCATAAGTCCCTGTTTAATATAGTAAAACTAAAATAAAATATGCATTGTGGCACAAAACTGACTCTTTACTTCTGACCTTAGATGCAAAAGTCAAGACGCTCGTTTTTATTAAACACTTGCTCGCAAGATTTCCTCGTGCCTCGTGCATGACAAATTTTAATATGTGCATTCCTAAGATGGGATTAGCATAAAAGCTAAAGTCAAAATTGTATATACTTGTTTTTTAAAATTTAATTTGTAGTACCAAAAAAAGTTTATTTTACTTTAATTAAGGTTGTCCTGGAGTGAGTGTCGAATGATCAGAATTTGATAAAAATTTACAAATAAATTCTTTATGATGCTTCACATCATCCTGTTTAATTTAATAAAAATTCTTGTCGTTGGGAGCCGAGTAAATACATTTCAAAGTTGAGTAAAAATACACAGGTTCTTATAGCAGCACGTGGGTTGTTACTCTTTTCTCCTCCGAAATAATTATTGGTAATAATAGGATTGCAATGAAAAATGAGTATATCGTGGAGCGTAATTTCAAAACATGATACGCGAAGTTTCATAATGATCATGTCGGTAGGAAAAAAGTTGTATGAGTATGAGTATGAGTATAAGAGACGTATAACCAGCCCCATTTCCTCTTGACTCTCGAACCCCGTACAGGCCTATGTTTACTTACGCCGATTTTTGTTCTTCCCCAGCAACTGCACGGCTTCACCCGTGTTTGCTGGGTGCGAATGTCCATTGCGTTCCGTACTGTCCCCTATATGGGGCTCGAGAGCGAGAGGCGAATAGTTTTAATAGCCGTTCAGGG